CACATCCTCAAGATAGCCCAGAAGTCGACTCCATAAAGTCTCTTTCTATAACTAACATAAAAACTTGCCACAAAAATTAGAGCCTGGGTGTGCATTGCCCCAACCATCAGCATGGAAACCCTGCAGTCAGCACCAATTATCGTGAAACCTACCCAATATCGCCTGTAAGGTTCCCTCGTGTATATTATGCAATACGGAAGCTCACCTTCATTAAATTTATTAGACCCTATAAGGGCAGCTTCAGACCTCATGCCGCCTGCCTCCTCAAAGGGCTTACCTAACAAGAAGCATTAAATGTTATACACATATATATATTCATAACTATTGTATAACACGCGTTTTGCTAAGAATGCTGCAAAGCAAAAGAGCAATTTCAACATAATGACAAATATATAAATATGTATATTTTTTGCAGCATAAAATACGTATATATATATATATAATAGCCTGAATATAATTTTCACTTCAAGTAAAGTCGCCTGCAGAGACTAAATGGAAATTAAGTACGAAGAGTATACGCCACGGGCAACACCATGTTGTAGAGTGTGGGCTTGCTTCTTAAGTGTAATTATATACGCATGTGTGTGTGTGTGTGTGTGTTTGTGTGAGGAAATTTCCTTCACAACTCTGTTGAAATTTGTCATTTCGCGCTTCAAAAGCCATCAAATAGCAAACCAGTGACAAACGAGCCTTTAGGCTATGTTAAGCTGTAATGACTTAAATTTCCATTCAACTTAAGTAGGTGTGGAAGTGAGTGGTGAAAATGTAGGAAATGAGGGGGAAAATATATATATATAATTACAGCTTCTGCAATATATATGGTACATATATATATTTATGACATGATTATACTTAAAAGTTTGCTCATGCCGAAAACTGGTGGCTGATGCCTGTCATAGTGGTTGTCATGGAAGCTTAACGCTTAATGGTCAATAAAGTTAAATCCAATAAGATTTCATTATGTAATGCATCATCAGTTCTCAACTATTTTAAGTAAACGAAAAAAAATGAGAAAAGAACATCAAATGTCAGAAGCTTGAAACAATAATAAAAACTAAAATAAAGTAAAAGAAAAAGGAATTAAATTTAATTCTATTAAATTAAATTAAGTTATAATATATATTAAATTAAACTAAATTATAATGCAATAAACTAAGATGATTTAAATTAATTTATCAATAATAAATATACAATTCTAAAACAAAATATAATTAAATTAATTTAAATAAAATAAAACTACTGAACCTAAAATAAAAAACTAAAAGATAATAAATTGAAAAAAAAATTAAAATTAAATCAAATTTTATTCAAAAAACTTAAATAAAAAAATTTATAAAATAGAATTATAATGCAATAAATTAAATTGAATTAAATTTATTAATAAAAAAATAAAATATCTAAAACAAAACAAAATTAAATAAAATTGAAATGAAAAAACATAAGTTAAATTAAAATAAAATAAAACAAAATAAATTTAAAAAAAATTAAAACAAAAAAATTAATGAAAAAAATACAAAAATTAAATTGAATTGAAAAAAAACCGAAATAATAATAAATTTAAAGAACATATAATAGAATAAATTTACATTAAATAAAATTAAATTAAACGAAATAAAACAAAATGAAGTCAAATTAAATAACCCGAATTATATAAAAAAGCTAAAAATTAGTAAATTAAATACAATTGAGTTAGAAAAACTTAAAAAATAATTAAAGGAAATAAGAAAACTAAATAAAACATGAGATAGAATAAAATAAAATAAAATATAATAAAATAAAATAAAATAAAATAAAATAAAATAAAATAAAATAAAATAAAATAAAATAAAATAAAATAAAATAAAACAAAATAAAATAAAATAAAATTATAAAAATAATTTTAATTGTAAAAACTAATAATAATTTAAAAATAAATTAAAATAAAGTAAACTATCGAAATGAAATAGGAAAATATATATTGAAAAAATGCAATATATTTTACAAAATAATTTATAAAAATTAAAATTAATAAGATTAAGTAAAACTATATAAATTTCAAAAAAATAAAATAAAAACTAGAAAGTATACTAGTTCAAAAATATTTAAATAAATAAAACAAAATAAAAGTTAAATTAAATTAATTGAAATACTAATAAGGTAAAGTATGCAATAAATTTGATAAAATATAGAAGAAAAATTTTTTTAAATTAGATATAAAAGATTAAAATAAAATGAAGTTAAATATAAAAACCAATACAATTTTAATTTGATCGTTTCTTTGCGTTTAGCACGTACATACATAAACATACTTTGTCTTAGTGTGCGTATAGTTAGCGAAGCAAAGAGTTTCCACTTTCAAACTTGTTCTTCTACTAATAAAGCGAAAGCTGCCCAAGGAGTGAGCACAAAACAAGAAAGAAAGTGATAGGGATGAGACTGAAAGTATTGAAGATATTGAAATTTTAAAATCCAACAGATTACGTGCCGCATGGGAAATGTAAAAGTGGTCGGCATACAGTTTTGCATAATAAATCAGCATATAAATCGCTTTACTGAAAGTAAAACAAAATACAAACTATTTAAAGAAATAAATATGTTTATGTATATGTCAGACATATTGGAATGCCTTTGTAACAATTTTTCTGTCGAATCGTAATATTGCAATCCATGAATGTGAAAATGAACTATTACAATAATTTTAAAGCGAATTAAAGAAGTTGAGCTAAATTGATTTTTATACTAAGAATTTGTGTAAAGTTTCTATAGAACACATTTAAACACAATTAAAATCATAAATTTAAATTGAACTAAATTTAAAAAATTTATATTAAATAAAATAATATAAATAAATTAAGATAAAGTTGAAAAAAAAATTTAAAAAAAATTAAAAAAAAGTAATTTAAAAAGTAAAAACCAATAATAATATAAAAATAAATTAAAATACTATGAAGAACTAAAAGAAAATATGACGTTTTCTAACTCTTAAAGTAAGGAGTAACTTCCCTATAAAGTATAAAAAAATTTCCTCGAAGGAAGCACTGGTGAAGACAAAACCACTTCGAAGGCTCCGCTGCCCAGCTGGCTTATGTCCTTGTACAAATTGAGGCTGACATCACAACACTCCACGAAGTGCAATAAACATGGATCATTTTAGGAAACATCAATTTGATTTTGGGCTTGTGGTAGTGTGATACAAGCTCCGTCGATGAGTATTGGTATTTACTAAGTGAACGTCTCGTGAACAAGGCGCAACAAAAGAAGTTCAGTAATCCTCCGTTGGTAAGGCATAATTCCTTCACGAAGTGACATAAAGGAGCTCCCAACTTTTTTTCGGGTGGGTTACATTTAGACGTCGTCACAACTGTTGTGTATATTTAAGATCCTCTTGGAATTAGTGACTTTTACCTAACCTAACCTAACCTAAGAATTCAAGACTGCATGTATTTTGCGGACAGAGTAAATTTTATCCCTAGGTTAAGAGTCAGAGTTGTGATTTATTTTGGTGTAGTAAATTTTAAATGCGCCAAAATCTATTGAAGCCTTGTGGAAGATGTGTAAATGAGCTTTTCTTTTCAATATTATGCTAACAGATCTCCGAAAAGCTCAGATCTATATTTTATATGTCTAATAAAGGGCCGATATGCTGTCTCCACTGGTATTGCTGCCATGTGCGGATCTCTAAATTATGCCATAGAAAAGTTTTTATGACGCTGCCGCCGTGCAATATTTTATTTTGTTCTATAGGTAGCGGTAGTAGGAACGTGGCGAATAGAAGAAGGAGGGAGATGCGTTTTTGTTTTGTTAACAAAAGAAAGCATCGAAAGTCTTAACCACATTAATGGGAGACTTTAATCCACTAAAACTACCCACACCCGTGCGGTAACCCCAGGTACTACATTTCATCCAAGAGGCCGTTGAAGCTAATACTCCTAGCACAATAGTCGGAGTGGAAGTCGTCTGTTGGCCGTCTTGGTTTCAGTACTCATCACTATGTACTCAGTCCATAACTTTTCTGGTCAACACTAGTGTCCGTCTTAGCGCCTTCAACTTAAGTTTTCGGCGTTAAATTGATGCCTACAGACTCGTTGCCTTGTCGTGCTCAAGCTCTTGGCAGCCCTGTTGACCGCGAGGCAGATATATAATGCGTATTCGGCATACTGTTCTGGATCACAAGTTCCGCAGTAGGGATCCTTTTCATGGCAAAAACGAGAGCGATAGGTCATGGGTTAAACTAAAGTCTGCTTTTCCGCTCTTCCTGCCATAGCTATACCACTAGATCCAGTATCAGGCGCTGTATACACCTTCCTTTTGCTCTATTAATCCAACTGATCTATACTCAACGGTCTATAGATAGAAATCTTTCGGTGCTTTTGATACAGCTGCTCTGTTCTTCTCGCCAAAGTTTTACATCCTGGATTTGTTTCTTGGCAGCAGGATCGAGAGAGCATAATCCAGTTCGCTCGGTGCGTGTTTGAATATATGTATTTTGTGTGTGTGTGCGGATGCTTGGAATGAGTAAAGCAGGGGTGGGCAGAAACAGAGCTGCGAGTACAGCAGAGCTCATTAATGTCCTTACATACATATAATTTGTATATACTTACTACACCAGTATATAAATTTCCGCAATAGAGCGAAGTCTCTTTTATGTGCTGGTAAATAATTTAAAAAATAAAAATATTCACGGCATAGTTCGGAACTTTTGTGGAGCAGAGAAGCGCGTTGCAATCCTTTCCCAATTTGCCCGCTCATTTACAACGGAAATTTATCACACAATTTAACGGTACTTAACATTCAATTGACCTCGCACGTTGAAGATGGAGAAGTAATCAGCATTTCTTAATTTGCATTTATCCCACTCGGTTAATGCTCGATAAAGGAAATATGACAATGAGCAATTTCGCATTTCACTTTAAATTCTCTTCTTCTTCTCTTCAACATTGCTGTTTATCATTGCATGTAATTGAATTTTATGGAATAATAAATATGCCTTGCAATCTCTCTCGCATTTTCCCCATTTGCAGATGACATTGTCACAACGCAGGCAACAACAGCAACAGCAACAGCAACAGCGACATCAGCAGCAGCAGCAGCGGTAGCAGCAACAACAACGGCTGGTGCAACACATAAACGTAAACTGTTGACGGCGACAGATGGACGACGTCATTTGTATTGCATGCATTCCGGTTCGATGAAATCACTTAATCACAACAACAACGATCGCAATGGTGGCATGAGCAGCATGACCAGTTGTGCTGGTGGCAGTAGCAGCAGCACATCACCCACACCATCGATGACGGTGATTAATGTGCCGCAACAACAGCAGCAGCACCAGCAGCCGCAACGTTTCAAGCTTTATCAACAACGTCATCAAAGTCAACAGCAACTGCAACAGCAGCAGGCAATGCAAATGTACATGCAGCAAGATATTGAACGGAGTAAATCAACATCGACGCCCAGCCTGCGGTTACACGACACCGCCTTGAGGAGGTGAGTATTTAAGTGGCTTGGCAAGGAGATAAATCGTGGTTTGTATGTATGAATAAACATACTTAAATGTACGTATGTACGCGTAAATCTGTTAAAAAAAAAATAAACAAACATTAAAAGACGATATGGCTGCTCTTGGCTCTCACTAGCTTCACAGCTTCCATCTGTGAGGTCTTGAAACGACGTTGGTCTGTTGGCGTAGACTTTAACTTTCACCTGGAACCACAAGAAGAAGTCGCAAAAGTGTTAAATATCAAGATCTCGCCCGTCAATTGCGATCACCTCTTCAAGACATTATAAGGTCTAGAAACTTTTCTCTCAAAAAGTCGATGCTTTCGTGTCTTGCGTGGCGCATAGCGCCATCTTGTTGTAAATAAACATTATTCGCATCAAAACCAGCCAATTTCGGCCATAAAAACGAATTAATACTAACCCTCTCAATAGCGCATGTTGTAGATGCAGAGCCCTTTCAACAGTTTTGTGACAGTTTTGCTTTTTGACGTAGCCATCAAGGTGAAATTGGGCCTCAACAGCCCAGTTGAATTTTAATCATTTCAAGGCACTTTTGAAGAGGTTGATGTTCTATTTAGATTGGAAATCCCTTTAAAAATTCAAAAACAAGAAAAAAAATAAAACAAAACGGAGCTGAGAACATAATTTTAAAATAATTTTCCAGAGATCTTAACCTCTAATATGATCAACATTCAATTATTATTCCAGCTCGTAAAAGAATTCGAAAATAAGAGGTTAAGCATTTTGTGGTCTCAAAGAAGTATTTTAACATTCCATTGATGATTTTTATTTATTTTATTTTTTATTTATTTCTTCATGACATCCTTGCGGATCTATCATGTGCTATGTTGAGTTGAAGCGACCATTTTGTGCGAACCCATTGTAATAATATAATATGAGGCTTCTGACTTCTTGACTTGAAAAGTAACAAGTTTGATAAATTTCCAAGAAGTTAGCTTAGCAAGGCAGTCGAGGAAGTTGTGTCACGCGCAGATGTCAAGTTTGTACAGTGGCAGAGGTAGTGTTCCCAAAATGTTTCCTCTTCTTCCTGCCAACAACTGCGGCAAAAATCATTCGAGTTGTAGGTCATTCTTTTCCCTGAAGTCTCATCGAACTGTAACATGTTATACCTAATAATACCTAATGGGGTACCGGTCTAGTAGAATAAGATGCTTTGATTTTCAATTTTGGGCATAACAGTCTGTTCGCGTTGCGCGTGAACTCATACAGCCATCTAGAGTTTGCATCTTCGGCAAAGGCCAGTTTTAGGCATAAACTTTGGCGTGAACAGAGGTAAGCCTGCATCGGCGTGTGCATTTTTTAAATGTAGAAAGCAGGATTCTTTCTATCGCCAGCTCGTATTTTATGTAATTTCCTGGAAAATCATTGTATTCGTTGACCTAGACCAACTCAGTATTGCATTTAGTCCGGAGTTTGCTCAGATTGCTTCTGCATTTTATAGCCACTACTGCAGTGATCTAATGGCAGCTTGACTGTTGGTATGTACCGTAACTGATTGATCATAAAATAACAAGCAGCCTCTCAGCGGTTTTCATGCTGGCAAAGGGCTCAGCTTTGAAGATGCTGCAGCGGTCTGTTAGTCTCATGCTCATATTAATTGAGAACACTTTTTCATCGTGTAATGAGCTGTCTGTAAATCTGGCTATGGCTCGCTGAGCTAAGTTATATTCCGATTTTCAGTCAACCATAAGCTGTCTAATATCTCTTCCAACGAAAACATCTTTCTTCAGCTTTCGGTAGTGAGGGCTTCATGGATTCCCTAAGCGGTGGTAGAAAAATTGTATGAGGAAACCACAGATAACCGTTAGTTAACGTGGATTTTATTGAGATCTACGCAATGACCGACAGCAATGGCAGCATATATGAACACTATTCCGAGGCAGAACAGTATTTGGAATATTTGGAAGAATTTATGAAAAGACATCATTGTAGTGGTAGGTTTGAATTCTTAAATATATCCATCAAATCTTCAATACTGGTACAATAAATTAAGTTCCACTTTTGGAGAAAGCAGAAAGTCAGCTGGTTCTTACTATATCTAAACCAGTAGAGAGACAGTACGGGGCAAAGTGTGCAGCCGCTTTTGAGCTTTGATCGAAGCAACTCAATCTTGGCATCAATTTCAAAGGCCTTTCACATATCGCGTCTTTCTGTACGAGGTGTCAAAATAAGTGGTGTTTCTTGAACATTTTTGAGTATTTTTGAAATCATTTCCTAAAGCAAAAATATTGAAAAAGTAGGTGAAAACTTCCACACCATTTTTCAAAATATTTTAAAAAATTTTTTATTAGCTACGAAAATAATCTTTTGTTTCTTGAACATTTTTGAGTATTTTTGAAATCATTTTCTAAAGCAAAAATATTTAAAAGGCAAGTGAAAACTTCCATACCGTTTTTCAAAATATTCCAGGATTTTTTTTATTAGCCACGAAAATAATCTTTTGAATAAAGAAAGTCACATACAAAAATATGGATTTTCGAAAATTTTTTCTGCGCTAAACTCTGACGGAGATTTTTGTAAAAAGTCAAAACTTCCCTAAGATCCAGTAATAAATAGAATAACAGTATTTTGTAAATGCTTGATCACTATTACAAAAAAAAAAAATCTCAAACCTATACCCCTGTGCTGAAGCTGCTTTCTCCTCGTAATACTCATACAGTCAATTGACGCTATGAAGTGAGCTGCTCTTCTCCCTTTGTGTTTGCTTAGTTTTCCACCGAACAAACAGCTTAAAGGTTTCATTCAACCGCATTGAAAAGCGTCTATTCCAAGTTTTGCCATTCGCTGTTTGGTTTAAAAATATATACATACATATATACATATATACATACCTACATATGTATGTATGCTCGTATGCATGGATTCAACGCAAGAGTTATAGATATCAATCGAACTCCCTTTCAGGCCATGCAGCGTCACAGAGCTGAGCTGCCGCAATCAGTTTATGACACGCGCTGCGGCTGCTGATGGCGGAAACTCGATTTAAATTTAATGTAGCACATAAATAGCATTCAACAAGAGATTTATTGCACCCCCGCCAAAGAGTCATTTATCTTATTAACGCCACGCTGTCTTTCTTTATTTTCTCTCTCCCTCTCTCTCTCTCTCTCTCCCTTTTCTCTGTTTTATCACGCTCTCTTTGGCGCTCATTTATGTGTTTTATTCGATTTTTGATTGCTGGCGCGTGTTTCGTTATTGTATATACATATATCCCACATATTTACATATATATATATTTCAATATATATTACATATATTTATAAATAAAAAATTATATACTTGTAGATCAAATCGAACGAAAAGTTTGGAGAGTAAGAAACGTGTCATCAAAATGCTTTTCGTACTCGTGTTGGAATTCTTCATTTGCTGGACACCGTTATATATCATCAATACCGTTGTCATGTTTATGGGACCCGTGATTTACGAATATGTTGGCTATAAGTCAATACCATTCTTCCAATTGCTCGCCTACTCCAGCAGCTGTTGTAATCCAATTACATACTGTTTCATGAATGCCGGCTTTCGACGCGCCTTCCTCGACACCTTCAAGGGTTTGCAATTGAGTGGCGGTGGTTTATTTCGTCGAAAAAACTCCTCCAATCACTCGGCAGCGGGAAACTCAATTATAATGGCGAATAGCGGCACAATAATGACCACGAACACCGTGTTGGACAGTCCGCGACTCTGAGGGCAGAAGCGACGCCGTCAAGGGCAGAATGCAAATTTCAAGTGGCAGCGACAGATGTCTGATTCGGTATAGAGAATGGCTGATGCTGTTAAATCTGCTGGTGTGTGGGTGTGTGTGTGTGTGCGTTGCATGTACATATAAGTGTGTGTGTGTGTGTATGTGTTTGAATTTGTGAAATTCGTTAAAAATAAATATTAAATCATATATAAAAATGTAAGTGTTGTAAATGAAAAAAGTTTTCCAATAAGAGGTGTTATTTTGCCGCTCAAGAACAACTGAGAATATTTCTGCTGTAGCCCAAAGTGACTGAAGTGACTATACTTTTTTCGTCGTTCTTCGGAATTGCCCTGTGTTTTGAATAAAGACTTGACTTGACTTGCCTTGACTTGACTTGACTTAACTTGACTTGACTTGACTTGACTTGACTTGACTTGACTTGACTTGACTTGACTTGACTTGACTTGACTTGACTTGACTTGACTTGACTTGACTTGACCTGACTTGACTCGACTTGACTTGACTTGACTTGACTTCACTTGACTTGACTTGATTTGACTTGACTTGACTTGACTTGACTTGACTTGACTTGACTTGAGCCGGCTGTTCATCAACAACGTCGTGTCTTTGCTGCTTGGGTCCTTGAAATCCATGAACATGATCCGGAATTTCAATGAAAAATGAGCTTGACTGATGAGGTCCATTCCCTCCTCGATGGCTACGTCAATGCGACAGTTTGAGTTGGATCTCAGGCTCTGAGGACCCAAGACTTAATATTTTAACGCCTCTCCATTCTCAACGTGTTACTGCTACTTACTGCGGTTTATGGCCCGACAGCATCAATGGACCTTAATTTTTCGTAAATGAAGCTGTAACAACAGTTCAGCTGACAAAAGATGGTCAATAATTTTTTTATGGCCGGAATTGGCAGGTATTGAACTGGACAAGACGGCGTTATGTACCTCACAAGCAACGAAACCATTGATCATTTAAGGGAAAAGCCTCCAGAGCGTGTTGTCTTTCGAAGAGCTGATCGACATCGGTCACCGAGACCTTGCGACTTTCTCCTTTGGGACCTTGTGGAAGTTAAGGTCTGCGCAAACAGGCCAGCTTCGGTTTAGTGCAGAAGATCTTTGAAAATATGACCTCTTATAGGAAAGCTCTGTATTATATGTACGCGCGTATGTATGTATGTTGTTATATAAAGTATTGTAACTAACCATAGTTGAACTATGTTTATAAAAAAAATTATTAGCATAAGTGTATATTTCAATTCATTTTAATGAAAAAAGAAACGAAAAAATATTTTTTTTTATTTCCAAAATTTAAAAAATTCAAAATTCAATAAATGAAAAACCTATTTAATTTATTTATTTATTTCCTCAACAATTCATGAAATCTAAGTTATCAATAACATTTGCAAATTCAATGCAATACAAATACAAATTTACACTATATCAAAATGAAATTCGTACTAAAGTTGTGATTTTTAAGTGTGAGACAAGCAAAGAGAAAAACTAAATAAGGAATAAAGAAAAAACTAAAACTCAAAACAACAAAAATCTTATGTGAAAAAAATCGCACAAAAATAATAAGAAAAAAAGTAAAAAGAAAATAAATCAAAAATTAAAATAAAATTAATGAGTAAAAATTATATATGTAAAGTATTAAAAAGGATATAATAAACAGTAAAATTAAAATCAAATAAAATAGCGAATAAAAAATTAAACCAAAAAAAAATTAATAATGACAACAAAAATTTAAATAAATAAAAAAAATTATACTGATAAAAAAATTAAAAATTATAAAGAAAAATAAAAGAAATAAAATGTAAAATAAAAATTAAAATAATTAATTAAATAAATATAAAAAAATAAAGAAACGCAATTTATTATTCATTTAAATTGAAATACTGAAATAAAATAAAACAAAAAAATTTTAAATTAAAAAAATAAAACTAACTGAAAAAAATAAATGAATTCAAAAGAAGAAATAAAAAATTTGAAAAATAAAAATAGAGAAATAAATAACTGCAAATAAAATAAAATAATTAATAAAAAAAATAAGAAATTAAAATAATAAATGAATAATAAATAAAAAGACTTTCAAATAAAAAAGTATAAAAACTAAAAAAAATATAAATAAAAAATTAATAAACATTAATAGAAAAATTAAAAAACGTAAAAAATTAAAAAGCATAAATAAAAGGTAAATTAAAATCTAAAAAATTGTAGTTAAAATTAAAATCTTAAACAAAATTAAATAATAAATTAAACATAAGAAATAAAAAAACCAATAAATGAAATTTTTTTTAAAATGTCAAATAAAAATTAAAAATTACGAGGTTAGAAAATAAATAAAACTAAAATAAACAATCAAAAAAATAAAACAAATGCAAAACTGTAATAATTAAATAAAATACATAAAAAATTAATAATAGTAAAACAAAAAATGGAATAAATTTAGTATAATAAAATAAATACAAAAGAAACAACAGAAGGAAACGATTAGAAACAGAGAAATAAATAGAAAGCATAAAATAAAACATTAAGTATTTAAAAAAATACATATAAAAACAAAATAAAATAAGCAAAAAAAAATCACAAAATTTTTTAATAAATAAAGCATAAAAACTGTAAGAAATTAAAAAGCAAAATAAAATAAAATAAATAATAAAGAAATTTAAATAAAAAACTTTATACAATAAAAACTTAAAAAGAAAATGAGTTAAATAAATAAAAATAAAAATTTAAAAAATAAAAATATATAACCATAAAAGATAACATATAAAATAAAGTGTAAAAAACTAAAAACAAAACAAATGAAATAAATACAAAAAAACACATAAATAAAAAGGCGAAAATAAAAATAAAAAATATTAAGTAATAAAATAACAAAACTAAAAATCAAATAAATAAATTAATAAAAAAATAAAATTAAAATAATTAATAAAAATAGAATACTAATTAAAAGAAAATAAAATAAAAATATAATAAAAAAGAAAAAATATAAATAAAAAAGATAAAATTTAAAATAAAATGTGAAAAACCTAAAAACCACAAATAAAAAAAAAAATATTTATAATAAAAAAATATTTATAAATAATGAAAATAAAAATAAAAAATATAATAACAAAACAAATTTAAATTAAAAATTAATAAAAAACAAAATTAAAAATCATGCAAATAAATTAATCAAAATTTATAAAATAATATAATAAAAAAAATTAAATAATAAATAAAAGAAAATAAAATAAGAAAACTAAAATATAATAAAAAAGATAACAATAATAAAGACACAAATAGAATAAATAAAACATTTATATATAACATAACAGAAATAAAAATAAAGAAATTTAAACAAAACTAATAAAAAATAAGAAATTAAAATTAGAAAAAAATTAAAATCAACCAAAAAAAAAATAAACAGACATTAATAAAAAATATAAAAAAAGGAAATAAAAATAAAATAATAAATAAAAGGAAATGAAATGAAATAAAAAAATAAAAATAAAAAGTATAAAAACAAAACAAATAAAAATAAGAAATTAGAATTAGAAAAAATTAAAAATCAAAAAAATAAATTAACAAAAAGAATTAAATAAAAGAAAAAAAAAATATAATAATAAATAAAAGGAAATAAAATAAAAAAAATTTAAGTAATAAATTAATAAAAATTAATAATAAAATGTAATAAAAATATAAAAATAAATAAAATAAAAAAAAACTAAAATATAATAAAAAAAGATAACAATAATAAAGACACAAATAGAATAAGTAAAACATTTATATATAACATAACGGAAATAAAAATAAAAAATTTAAACAAAACTAATAAAAAATAAGAAATTAAAATTAGAAAAAAATTAAAATCAACCAAAAAAAAAATAAACAGAAATTAATAAAAAAAATAAAAAAGAAATAAAAATAAAATAATAAATAAAAGGAAATGAAATGAAATAAAAAAATAAAAATAAAAATTTATAAACAACCAACGAATTAGGTTTCGGAGTTTGGGCTTTTATATGTGGTTATATATATGTATGATATAAATAATTTTAAATAAAATAAATTACAATTAGTAAAAAATGCTGTCAAAAGCTAAAATAAACTAACTCAGCACAAAATTTAGATGTACATACATATTTGTATATAATTTTTTTAAGAGCATTATGCAAGTGTAAACTGTAAATACATGTATGAATATATTTTAAAATACAATACATATATATGTACTCGTATGTATATATGTTTGCACCAGATGCAAAACCAAATAGTTTATTCAGCGTTTTGTCAATGTTAATTAGATTAACGGTTATTTGTATGTATTACATAAAAAATAAAAAGAAAAAACACGAAAAGAAATTACAAAATATTCTTCATTCAATTTATGCAATTACGCTTTGTACTATTCAATTAAATTAAGATTCTCTCTTAATTTTCCATTATGCTGTGAATTGAAATAAATGAAATGTAAATTGGAAAAAAAAAATTGAACTTTCTGTTTGCGCATTTAACGGAAGCATTGTGATGTAGTAAGTACAATATTCAAGCATAAAATATGCATGTAAGTATAATGCTTACAAAATAAAATAGAGGAAATATAAACAATACCATGAGGGAAGCCCAAATTGTTTTCATTTTTGCTTTACTCAAGTGTTTTTTTTTTACTAAAAAAAAATATTGGAAATTCCCAGAATTTTTTTTTTTATTTTAACATTTCAATCAATTGGTTTGTATCCTAAGGTATTACTTGTCCAATTTCTTTTTGACTTTCTCTTTAAAAAATACCCCAACCACATATGTACATATGTACATAAATATATAAGTCATTTTAAATAATACCATTAGTCACAAGGATATAATGTTATCCAGCAAAAAGAAATGAATTTCACCACCACAAAAAGGCAACAAGCAAAAAATGTCGCAAACGACAGGGAGTTACCTTATATTACCATACAGGGTTACACATTTTGCGATTACGTAACTAAACGTAATGAAAATATATTTAGAACGTATTTTTCCTGAAATTCCATTTTTTATTATAAAGTTTAAACCTTGGCATTTTGTGTGAAAAACTAAAAATCTGTGCCCTCCTGGGTAGTATCTCAGCCATAAC